GATTAATTGGGGCTTTATTGAAATTGGGACTTGGGATTGAATTAAAATATTTCATAAACGTGATCAAACCTGAATGCCACGGGCCGAATTTCAAGTTGGAAACTCAAAGACTCGTTTTCGTCGGCTCTCTTAATTACGTTAGTTCAGTTTTCCTTGAAAAAAAAAATAATGTATTTGTATGTAAATCAATAAATTATATAAAAGAAAATTAAATTAAAACTTTGTTAAACTCGTTTTTATTATTATTACTTTCACTTACGTTTGTATGTATCATAAAGTAAGGGTAAGTATTGCGGTCATGAAAATTTTTGATTCTGAGTTAACAACGAAAATACACGTTTTAGAGTACCCTGAGTTCAAATAACCAAGTCCTGAAAAATGTGTGGCTGTGTGTGTATGTTAGCAGTCTAGCTCAAAAACGAAAACTCGTACTAAACTGATATTACGTATTTAAGATATGTATATGCCTTAGACGTGACAGCAACTTTCCCCTTAAAATTGGCTAACCGGAAGTGCCACTTTATATTAACGCTGAAGTGAACACATTTTTAAAATTTTCTCAAAAACGGCTCTAACTATTTTGATTAAACTCTGTGTATCATTCTGTAATTAAATGGTCTTTAATATCAATCAGGTCTTATCCCCATTGATGTCACTTTACAGTGCTTAAATACCCAATGTTCATATGCATCTACCTCTTAAGTACCATTAATATGGTTTATTTTAAATAATTAACTATCTCTTATTATTAAGAGTTACGAAAAAATGCTAAATATAACTTTTGAAAGAATTTGATAATTGAATAAGGGAGAAAAAAAATAAAAATGCTTATCCAGGTCGAAAATGAATCTCCGGAAATACTAGTCAGAAGGTATACATATAATATATCATTGGAAAGCGGGAAATTTCAGAAACAAACAATCTACAGAAACAACAACAAATAATATAGAAAGTTGTAGAAGGTAACGGAGAGTGGCAAAAAATAATATTTAATAAGTTTTGAAAACTAATAATATTTAACGTAAATCACATATTTGCAAGAAAAATTACTAACTAAATGTAATCTTTTAAAATATTTTTGAGTTTAAACAAAATATTTAAAATCCTCCTAATCAAGGCAATGACATTGTTTAAAAAACTATTTCATTGTACTTGTGTGAAAGAAGTAAATATAAAATCATTTCATGGATGTATAAAGCATATGTTTATAACCTTAAATACATTTACTGTAGTTTAATAATTCTAGATCTGATATTATATTTAAATATTTAGGTTTCTATCGTCCGTTTATTCCGAAAAATCATCATGTAACCTTTTAGAAAATTAAATTAGTGAATAGTTTGATGAAATTTTCTTTTGTGATATTCCAACAGTTAGTTATCCACTTACAATTAGTGTGACAACTTTTGACCTGTCTATGACAGGCAATGTAAATCTCTTAATTCCATTTAGTAAACTTTGCAATGGAAAATAACAGTTAAATAACTAATAGTCCAAAATCAACGGATCGTACAATCCATAATTCACCGATGATATAATAAATAAAACTTTTATTATTTTAATGGTGTTTATGATTTGTTAACTGTACTTTTTTAGCTTTAGTTCAGTTAAAAATGCAATTAAAAAATGGTATAATGGCCCAATATGGCCAGAAAATAATTTCTATTCAAAGTTGAAGTGAAAGTTGTGTGTTGCGCGCACCAGATTTTTTTAAAAATAAATTTTGACGTGATCATTCTGATATTGCGTGCTTTGAGCCTGCGATGAAAAGGCCGAGTGGTAAAACCGGCTTTGCGAATTGCGAAATTTTTTTATACTTTTTTATATTATTAAATCTCTATGCCTGATTTATCTATATTATTTTTTTGTAATCATTGATTTGATCTGAGCTTTCAACTAGTATAACCTATTTAAGAAATATTATTATTTAAATATTATTTGCAATCGATTAACATAAAAATATTTACTAAACTTTTTTTTTATAATTTAACCTCATCTTATTCTAAAGGAATAATCTTGGTTACTTAAATATAAATATGATAATTAAACATTTAGGGTTAATACAGCACAGTACGACTATTACGTAGGCGTTGGCCAATTGAAACCCGCTGATCTGATTTATATTCTGGATATGTAATGAGACACTGTGAAGCAGCAAAAAAATTTGCTCATTGCAAAGTAATTCACAGAATGTAAATTTAATTTGATGTTAAACTTTTATGTTTGATTAAATAAAAAAAGGTTAATATTAATGGTTTTAGAAGGAAATTTAGACATGGAAATTCCTGACTGAATTGGCAACCCTGCTTACAAGTCACGAGATTTCGTGACTCGTGATTGGTTGTTGGAGTCATAGACAAATAAATAAACAAATAAAAATTGAACTCAATACTAACATTACGGCTTATTTTTTAACTATATTTTTAATGCTATTATTAAATAATTATTTTTTTCTTTTCAAAGCCAGTTATTTTTGGCTCGTTTCAAACTATTAAATAAAGAAACTCTAAAAAACTTTTAACTGCTATAGAATTTGTTGTACAATCACTTCGAATAGTCCACTTAAATGTTATTATTATAGCCCGAATTATTTTATCAGTTAAGACCTGCGCAATATGCTATATAATAAGCAATTAAAAAAACGCAAAATATGTAGTAAAAACAAAATTATCTGCAGAAAATCCTAAAATATACAATAAAAATTTCTCTCGGAAAATTTACTTTCAAAATATAATTACGAACTTTTTAATACATCATAGATAAGTCAAAAGTGGTTCCACTAATTGTAAGTGTATTATTTTGTGATTTCACGGAAGAAAATTCAACGTACTATTCAATAGTTTAAGTTTCTAAAACTTTACTCAATGATTTGTTGGAACAAATTTGCGATGCATACGAGTTTATTATTATTATTAAACTTTAGTAAATGTATTTAAAGTTATTAAGATATCGTTTTTACTCATTTATAAAATATATATTTGTATATTCTACTTCTTTTGCATTTTTTAAAATGTAAAAGGATTTTATTTTAAACTTAAAAATATTTAAAAAATATATATGTAGTTAGGGAATCTCATGTTGTTCCCATGGGAACATTTGATTTCCGTTAAAAAATATTAATTTTTAAAAATTATAATTTTTTCTTATCTCCTTCAACTTTGTATGTTAGGTATTGTTTGTCCTAAGTCTCTCAGGGTTTCAACATTTATACGTATACATCCTGCCTGTTATTTTTGGAAATTCATTTTCAACCTAAAAAAACATTTTTCCTTTAGTAAATTATTAAATTCTTGGGTTTATATTGAGTTTTTTTTTTTAGTACTACTAACAACGAGAGACAGTTAATTATTTAAAACAAACCAAATTAGAAGTATGTTAGAGGAAAATGTTTTTAATGTTAGGCATTTAAGTCCTGTTAGAGAACATCAACGAGAATAATAAACCTACATTATATTACAAATCTCTTAATTTTACAAAATCCTATATTATATATTTCATATATAGGTAAGTGAAGGTAAAAATAGAATATAATTCAATTATTTACCTCTCAAAACCAGAGGTGCCCATCCCCCTCAAGGTCGATGGCGTAAGAATCTACCCGCCCCCCTCCTCCCAAGATATTTTATTGCTCACTTTTCTTAAAAACAGAGCAAGCGAAGGTAGAATAAGAAAAATCGTAGATCATATACAATTACGCTTGCTGCGGTATGTTCTATGTTTCCCCCTTGTTCCTTAGTCCGAAAATTTATAACTCCGTCGAAATTTGCCCCTCAAAAATTTTTTGATGCGCAAGTTGCGCCATCAAATCCCATTTTGGGCATTCTTGCTCAAAAAACTCCTAGAAACAGAAAATGGAGTAGTTTAAAATGTCATTACGAAGAATTTCCTTTGGAATCTAAAACCAACAATGATAAATCCACTAGTGGTTTTACTAATAAAAGTTCACTGACATCATTCTAATTAATAAACAACATCTATTATCTAACATACTAACAACTACTTCATGCCCTATTCTGGGCCATATTATGTAAATAAATTATTATTTTAACAAATATATATAAAATAATTTATATTTAGTTAAATAAAAATTTGAAATATTTGTTTTAAAATCAAGAATGACTGATTCATAATAATGGAATTTGTCATATATTATTTATATGATTTTATATGCTGAAATTATAGAATAGAGGGAGAGATTCCCCGAAACGTATATTAATAAATGATAATAATAATAAACTAAGCATGATTGTTTTATTAAAACCGACATGTAAGTAAAAATAGTGAAAAACTAAATAATAAAATTAAAACTTGAAGAACCTAAGTGATAGTAAATAAACAAGGAAACTGTGATAACAGCAGCTTATATTTGTTTCTGTAGGATTTAAAATCTAACGCATAAATAAACAAGTTTTGAATGGAAAATATCAGAATCGAGTTAGTTGAAGTAAATAAAACAAATCTGTGTTAATTTATAGCACTAGCGGATCCAGGATTTAATTTTTTTTGGGGGGGGGACTTCAGCCCTAAAGCTTTTTTTCCCACAAAAATGACGATAATTACTTTGGAAAAAAAGAAACTAACTATCTATATAAAATGGTGTTTAAGTGATTCCTTAAGTCCTTTTTAATGTAATTACACGAACAATAATACTTTAAGAAATAATTTTTTAATATATTTTTCCATAAAACATCGTTATATTTTACCATTTTTTTGGGTGGGGGCTTCAGCCCGAAAGCCCCCTCCCCCGTAGATCCGCCCCTGATTTATAGTAAATATTTGGATTTCTTGTATTTTGATCGGATTTAAAATTCATCGGCACCACTGTGCGATGTTTTGCTGTTATAGAATTGTTTACATGCTTGCATTTCTTATTAATGTCTGTTATTATTATTTTATTTTAAAATTGGCTTTTTAAATATTATAATATTGTTTATTAACATGATAAAACTGTAGTGGAGATTAGGCTGATGGTTCCAGGTATAAGGGAGGGAGTTACGTAACCTAATCATATAGACAGGGTAAAGGCATTCAGTTGGGCTTCAACAGCCCCCACGAGCGCTTGTTTCGGTTGTATCAAATTGTTGATATAGATTTCTTTTATAAATCTTTAAATTATTTTAATCAAGAAATGTTCGTCGGTTCTACAATTTAATTAGGTACATTAAATAGTGAATAAGTGCAATGACAATGAAATTGGACTCGTTTTACTTGCAACAACAATTCCCGAACCCCTCTGAGTATGTAAGTACATATCTTGTGGTGAGTGTTAAGTGTTCTTTGTGGGCTTCATTTCAAGTGGTGTATTATTATATTTTTTTTGTACAGAAAAAAAATAAATACCAAAACGGCTACGATGGTAGAGAGGGTATCACGCTTACATGGTCTGATCTTAGTGTTACCGTCAAACAAATTAAAAAAAAGTTTTTTAAGTCGAACGCTGTAACTTATAAAAAATTAGTAAACAATGGTGAGTGTATATTAAACATAAAAAAATATGTTTTACCAAAAAAAAAAACTGTTACAATCATATAACTTTGTTATGACAGTTTCAGGGGCAGTTGAAAATGGCAAGTTGGTTGCACTGATGGGACCTAGGTAATGATATTGTAATTTGAATTATGCTAATTGAGTATATAAAGGCAAGTTTTTTTCCTAAGCTTTGAAATGATTTATTGCATTGAGTAGGATTAAGATATCTTTATCAATTACTATGCTTTGACATTTCAATTGACCTCATTAATCAGTTGTATTTTATTTATTGTTTGTAATTATTGTTCTGACTCTTGATATCTGGATTTATTTATTGACTTTTCTTATTTATGTTACATTTTTTTATTAACATATATTTTTTAAATCTTGAAAGTGATCCCCATTTGTCATATTTAAGTGTTATCAGATTACCAGGTACATAAAAGACTCATAATTTCATATAATTAATCATACTTACATAAATATACAATAAACTATCATTATACCCACTTCATACTACTATAAATCAATACCAGTTATTATATATAAATAATTAAGGAATGCTATTACCAGATTAATTTATTATGTTTTTTCTTTTTAAAGTAAAAAATTAAATTAAAAAATACAGAAATAAAATTATATAATTAATTTAAAAGCAATAAATTCTATTTTAATAACCTAAAATCTTATCTTTCAAATTGTAATTTTTTTAATGTTATGAACGATTTGTGATTTTCAGGACTTTTTTTTTTCATTAAGAAACACTTCAAACTGGATTGTTCATTCAAGTTTTTATTATTATTTCCATTTTTAGTTGTAGCTTTACTTAACTATGTTAATATGATCTAGTATAAATCTTATTGCAATTAATTGGAATTAGTCTTCTCTAGTAGTAATTTCTTTTGTTTATAGTTTGTATTTATTTTTTTATAATTCTGAATTTTTATTCATGAGAATTCAAAATTAATTTTTGAATATGAATATTGAAATTGGTTGAATAAATCACTAGTTTCTTAAAACACCATTTTTTGAGAATTAGCAATTTTATACGTGCCTGAAAAAATAGTTAATTTCTTTATAATCTCATATCTGTCATTTTTATGTAATAAAATATTTCTTATATTAAGTACTGACTTTTTCTTCTCAAAACAGAGTAAAAACAAATTATTAATTATGTAAAAAGATGTTCATAATAAATAATAAGTTCAATTGGCTTGATATATGTTTTTAGTTAATAAATATATACTTATACAAAATTGTTTAATTTCCATTATATTGCTCTGTAAATTGTGTCTATAATTGAAAACAATTAATTTATTTATATCCAGATCCATCTTCTTACATTTTTCATTATTAAACAAAATTTCAATGAACCCGAACATAAAAAAAATGAGAACTTTTTAGGTGCACACTGTGGGAAAAACTTTGAAATATACTATTAGATGTGGTATACCAATTATTTATTTACTTTTTGTAATAATTCTGCATATGATCTTTTGATGCACATGAGTCTGTTTTAAAATTAATAGCTTTTACTTAAATTTTCTGTAATAGTTACTGCTTATAATAATTTTTTTCTAAATTTTTTTTCATATGCAGAATTTAAAAAAAAAATAATTTACACTCTGATTTACGATGGTGTTGTCATGGGTGTTAAGAAAATTAAAATTATCGGCTCAGGTTCATGAAGTGCTTTTCAGTAGAAATATAAAAAAATAAAGTATTTATTCACATTTTTTTTCAATATTAATCTTCTTTATTGAGGAAATGTGGACAAAATATGTTATATCTCCTTTAAATATGCAATATCCTCCAAATGTAATAAACTACCCTTAATTTGCTTTTAAATTATAAAAATTTAAAATAAAATGTTAAATAATAGTATAAAATTACTTGGGATAAATTTATAAATACATATATATCCAGTCCCTGTTGATAAATGGTTGGTCATATAACATGAAGTTTATTTATTTTTAAATTATTTGGATTCATAATATTAAAAAAAGCTTATTATTTATCTTTTCAGTGGTGCCGGAAAAAGCACAATTCTTTACGCTTTGTCTCATCGTCATTCTGGTAATATTTTATGATGATATTTATTTATCATATTTTTTAAATAACATTATATTTTGATACTTGTTTTGTAACCAGATCAAATGATGGTTGATGGTGATGTTAAGATTAATGGTCACCGTGTTAACAAATCAATGTGCCGCATATCCGGTTTTATGAGACAAGAAGATATCTTCATTGGAGATCTAACAGTAAAAGAACACCTCTTATTTATGGTAACTAATCTTTTCGTCAAAATTACGTACTAATTGTAATATAGAACATAGTATGAAGTACAGAACAATTGAGGCATAGCATCCTAAAACCAGTGAAATATATTTTTGTAAATTTGTCTTAGCTGCCTGCTAAACATAATGGATTAGTGTAAAGAATACTCAACTAAAGTTATTATTATTATTTTTATTTTTTATTTTTTTGGATGCTATTCGTTCAGTTAGATACTGCCCCATACATATTAATAAAAAACTGAAAAGAAAAATTAAATGCATATACATTTGACAATAAAAAAGTTTATTTCAATTTGGCTGGTTTTGGAAGAGGATTAAAAAATAAACACGAAGTCATGTATTATTTAATATATATTCATTTTAGTTGATGTTTTTATAACATGTCATATTTAGTAAAAGGCAGGTATCAAGAATACATCCCACAATACATATGTTTTATAAATATACGTCATGGGAAAAGTTCCTAAAATTATCACTGACTTCAGGAACTTGCCCATGTTTGATAACATTTTTAAAACAGAACTTTTTTTTATTGTATAAAAACACCTAGACTATTTGGGATCCTACAACGATTTATTTAAAAAAAAGAAGCTATTTTTTCAATAAAAAATTAATCAATAATGTTAAATGAGCTTTTAACCTTATTAAAATATGTATGTACTTTTTTATTTTGCAATGAAGTTATCATTTAAAAAAACCTATCGTTTGGCCTTTTTAGGTGCACCTTCGTGGGTGATATGCCTGAAAAATAGTTAAAATATGGAAACAAAAATTTTAAAATAAAACATTAAAAGTCATTTTAAAAAAACAAAAAAAATGAGAAATACAAATGAACACTTTAAGAATAAAATTAATATTACTAGTAAAATTAAAATCTTTTGCTTCATAATAATCTCAGACAGAAAATGTATCATGATTTATTAAAAAAATAAAAATATTAGAAATACATTTGGAATCTCAAACCCCAATCATAGGATATTTATTTTGAAGTTAATTATTTTAGTTATAGTGTCAAAGTTAAATTGAACAAAAATTAAAAATTATGAAAATGTTTCAGGCTTGCCTTAAGTTGGATAAAAGAACCACTTATCAAGAAAAAGAACATCGTGTCTCTTATTTGATTAGTGAACTCGGATTAGAACATTGTAAAAATAGAAAGATTGGTGGTTCAATGTTTGGACAGGTATGCACAATAATGCTTACACATAAAATATTCTTCTGGGAAAAACTATAAACAATGGATGTTATTTATAAGGATATTGGATACAAGGCTTATATAGCCTAAGTTGTATGATTGGTTATAATGGATTATCAGCTTTACTAGCTGAAAATGCTTGGTATTTTGGAGGTTCTTACAGTATTCTGTGAATATGTATGATATCATAAACATATTTTTCTCTCATACAATTTTACAGTCTTATACTTTGAATACTTTTTTTTTCAGCATTGTTCATTTGATATTTTTTAAACTGTAATAAATTTTAATCAAAATAAACAAATAATCTGGTATAAGTTTAAAAAAAAGTAATTACATCAACATCTTTGTAATTTTTTTTATTTATTTGCCATTATATATTATTTATTTGTTAATACTTTATCTAATACTTATTAAACCCACAAAGTCGGGAAAAAAGTTATGAACAAAAGAAAAATTGATTTGAGTGAAATGTTTTAAAATCTCTACAAAACAGTAAATAAAAAATCATTTGAAGAGGACGTGTATTTCTGTAGAATATAGCCCCAAAGCAGCTCTAAGGATTAGTTACAACATCAAGTAAGTCCCACAAGGTTCTGCCCTCAGTCCAACATTGTTCTGCATAGCAATAGATAACTTGGGACTTAACTTGCCTAGAGGTGTCAAACTTCTACTGTTCACAAATGATCTGTCCATCGTATGTCGCTCAAACAACATTGCCACTATAAAGCGGAAATTAGAGGAAACCATTAATAGAATAAAAAAACTCGTTCCTCTCCACAGGTTTCAAATTCTCCTCTGAAAAAACAAAGTGCCTCCATTACAGTTAAAAGAAAAATACTCCTCTCTCTCCTGGCATTTACTTAAACTATTCCCTGATCCCCTATACCAACAGTCGCAGATTCTTGGGTATGGTATTTGACCGAAGACTGATATAAGAAACTCATATTTCAAATTTAAAAATGGCTGCAACCAAAAAACTAACCCTATTAATATATCTAAGTGGTACTGCTTGGGGTTCAGATGGGATCACTCTACTACAACTGTATCACTCATTAATGTGCTTAAAGTTGGACTATGGTTGTTTTATCTACAGTTCTTCATGTTTCTGGATCTTTAATAAACCTGATAAAGTACATGATGCTGGTATTTTATCGCGACTGGCTCGTTTCAAACCAGTCCGGTTCTCAGTTTGTGTTCTGAAGCAGGAGAATCCCCTCTTTTACTTAGACGAAAAATCTGGCCATATATTATATTTCTATACTATACTCTTAAACTGAACACTCAATTTATAGAAATATTTTGAAGCCAAAATTTTCACGTTTTTACGTGAATACGTTTTTGAAAAGAAAACATATTCAACCCTCCCTCTGTCAGAAATAATTAACACAGATATTGAATTCCTTAAAGAATTACCTTTAGAAAAAACAAAAACTTATATCCTCCATGAATAAATAAACCACCAAAAACCATACTAACCTTATCACAATTACCGAAAAACGAAACCTCACTTTTTGAATACACAACTAAACTCTCTTGTCTTCACAAAATTCTAGAACCATTTTTAATCATTCCGACCATACCGACGGATCAAAATCTGAAGAATCCATAGCAGTTTCTTACCCACAAAATAAAACTACATAAATTATGCATTATGTATACAGCTGAACTTCATTCAATAGCTTAATTTCTCCATGCCGATAACCCTCAAAACAATAATAATAACAAGAGATTCTTTGAGTTTTTTAAAAGGTATTAGTAATATATATCCGTGAAATCAGACTATTTTAAAAATCCATGGGTATTTAAACATGTGCGAAAATTTGAGAAAGTCGATACATTTTATCTGGGTGCCAGGCCACGTAGGGATTGTTGGAAATGAGCTCGTGGATACATCAGCCAAACAAGCACTCATCCTTCCCGGCCGGAGCGCTGCTATTGTAACACCACGTGACACAAATCTTCCTCTCAAAAAGGAAAAGGGAAATAGCTCTTGGCTGGCAAAACACGTGGAACAAGAGCCCTCCGAGGAAATAAAAAAATCAAGTGAATGTGACACATGACTGTGAATGGCACAGTCAGCCACATTCTTCAGGAGGATCCTTATTACCTTATCAATTATAACCAATTAGGACTCATACCAAAACTATCAGATATTTTAAATAATGATAAGTTAATGTAATGTAAGGTTGGTAATAAATTGTCTTTGCTGTGACGCAATATATTCGTAATTGACCTAGAAAAAAAAATGTATTCATCCCCCTCATAATATACTGTATTTACTTATTTGCATATTAACATTTGATCTTTGATCAATATAAAGTGCAAATTATTAGTATAGGCCAGTTGTTAACATATTTTGAAATTTATTTTTTCAGAGAGCGGAGCTGTCTGGTGGAGAACGCAAACGCTTATCATTTGCTACAGCCTGTCTTTCAAATCCTGCACTGTTATTCTGTGATGAACCAACTACTGGCTTGGACTCGCTCAATGCGATTCGCATCGTCAGTATGATGGCTTCTTGGAATGCTACAATCTTATGCACTATCCATCAGCCTAGTCCTGAAGTGTTGAAGTGCTTTTCCTCTGTAATGTTAGTTGCTGATGGATCTCTTGTTTTCTCTGGGTCTGTAGATGATGCCATAAACTTTTTCAGAAGGTAAATCTCATCTTGAGACTAATGATATACTCTTTCAAAAATATATTTATAACATTTTATTAATGCTTTGGTATTTGTTTAATTATAGTATTTGAAAATTAATTCATTTATGTGAAGATTATTCCTTACTTTTCATTTGTATTATTTTTTAAATGGGTTTTTTTTGTCACTACCCAATATCTTTGTTAATACTTAATCAAATCTAATGAATGAGCCATAATTTTGAAGATTATCTTCTCCTCCAGATGTGAAAAATATCCACGTCACCTAAAAATAGTCAGGAAAAATTCATGAAAAAAAAGAAAATTTTATTTGTGCATAACTAAAAAGTATACAATTTATATTGTGATTTGTCATACCTATGTTAATTTGAAAGGGCTCTGAATTCCAACAAAAATAAAAGATTGAAATTTGACTAATTTTAACAAAGATACCAACAACTGTAATTTTTACACATGTTTTGGTTTATTATAAGGAGAGGGGTAGGGCACTGATCTTCCAATGCTCGAGGTCCCAGGTTCAAATCCCAGCTCATGGCAGAAAAATTATTTATTCTGTTTCATCAGCCATGGGATGATCCTGGGATCAGGAAACCTCCTGGAGCATACACAGCCTCTAAAAAATTGGTACCCTAGATTAAATAGAACCTAGACTAGGATAGAAACTTTGATTTGGAAAAGCCACGAGTCACGTCCATCAGTACTTCAATCAGTACCTTACACGATCAATCAGAATGTCACAATGCCTTGGAATGCAAATCAGAATGACTGTGTAGGGTCTGCATAAGATTTGCCAATGGAACCTCGAGATGTTCTCGTATTTCTCACTACTATGTAAGGTGGTTCTCCTCTCCTTCAGAAGACAATGCAATTGTTTCCTAGGCACATTCCTTTATAGAATAATAAATTTTAGTGTCTGTTTTATTTTATTGTAGGTCTTTTGGTCAGATTTAATGTTAATTTGTTTGAACAATATTGTCATTCTTAAGGGACTTTGTACCAGAATAAAGTTGATTTTTCTATTCTATTAAATATTGTTTAATAATTATTTACATTATTCAGTGCAGGTTACCATATGAACGTAAATGAAGGAGCAGGAGAGTTCCTAATGAGTTGCTTAGCTCCTCCTCCTGGATCAGCGTTATCGGCCAGGATGGCTGTGAAGAGATTAGCGCACCAGTTTGTTATATCGGAATACTCTAAGACCACGGAGCTGCTTATAGCATTGCAAGAACAACCAATCAAAGTATGTATGCTTTATCCACATAAGTAGCATAAATATCGTATTAATTGATGTTTCAGTTCGATATTAGCTTTTTATGAATTATATTTGTAAAGACCAGATAATGTTTTTTTTCTATTTTATAAGGAATTTTTCTTGCTTGATGGTTGAAACTTTTATTAAATACAACAGAAATTTTGTATAAAGTTCTATTTTAACAGTTTCCGTGCAATTGTTTAGGAAAAAGGTTTTTAAAATTAAAGTAATTAAGAATTTTTTTGTTATAAAGATCTTGTTTTATGGTAAAAGTTTAACTTTTAAAGATTTAGGTTCTTAAAGAAAAATTATTTTAAATGGGAAAAACATTAATTGGGCTTAGATTATAGTTATGATTATTTTAAATGAATTCTCAAATTCTTATATTAAGAATTTACTGCACAATTTTAAGATTAATTTTTTGTCAAAATCGATAGCTTCAACAGAACTTTTAAAGAAAACATTTTTTTTTTAAATAAAAATTCTGGTACTTCTTCACTAGCAGGCCGGGACTGACTGCTATCTGCTAATGTTTATAACCTGAACACTGATAATTTGGATAAGGCAGTGATAAGCCTTCTCGTAATTCCTATCTTCATATTATTGTATTATATTCTTATTATTAAAAGTGTAAACAAAAACAAATGTAATAACAAAAAAAAAATTATTTTACGACACATATATTAAAGAAATAATTAAAAAAAACACTTAAAGAAGATATGTACATATAAAAGATCAAAATGAAATAATAAAAAAACACTTAAAGAACATATGTAGATGTAAAAGATGAAAATGAAATAATAAAAAAACACTTAAAGAATATATGTATATATATAAGAAAAAATATCAACACTATAAACGACATATGTAAAATTTATTTTCACTTTTTCTTATTTATTTTGGTATGTAGTATCTCATTTAGCATTCCTGGTCAACTTCATTTGAACCTCGTTCACACAATTTCACGTCTGCAAGTATCCCAACGTTTTGAAAATATTCAATAGCCTGTTCTTCCGAAGACGGTAAATCCCAGAATGTAACAAGATTCATAATTTGATGAAAATAAACTTAAAAAAAAAATGAAAAATAAACATTAACGGCCAAAAATAAAGAATTTAATAAGTGAACGTAATAAGAGAATAACTGAAAAATAAACAATTAATACCTGAAAGGTTTGGCGGGATAAGAAGAGGGAGGTTATGTGACATGACATTAGATAACATAGATAAGAAGTGAGGTTTCGACCCAGCCTGCTAGTGGAGTAGTACCAAAGTCCTATTAACTCTTTATTTGATAAGTTCCAAGAGAAAAAATTCTAGTTCAAAAATAACAGGCAAAAAATTAAAATAAAGATTCCAGTCATATCGGACCTGATTAAAAATAAAAGTTAAAATTTAATTTCAAGCAGTGGTTTGATGAAAAATTGTATTTGTGTTTGTAGGAATAATTTTTTTTTTTTTAGATAACTCATTATTTTGTTTATTGTTTATTTTAAGAAAAAAAAAATCTAGTTGTTAGCCCTCAATTCATAAAATAATATTACTGTCACCATTAAATAAATAGTATCTGCTTATTTTTCTTTATATATTTATAAGATACATATTTCTGTTGAGATAAATTTTCTATCTACAAGGATATTGAGCAAATATGATATCACAGAGAACAAAAGAACAAAACAAAAAAAAACAAGCAAGAAAGAATATGAATAATAGAAAATTATAAAAAAAAAAAAAAATTAGATTTACAAAATTAGTAAAAAATAAAATCCTAGTAAATTACAAAATTAAACAAAAAAAAACAAAAGTAAATAATGTAATAACACAAAAGATAGCAAGCAGCTCAATCTAGTTCTTGGCCAGCGCAATCTTCCGTGTGGATTATAGGAATTTACAGCTGTAGATAGAGCCTGAGTCGGTGGATATGAATTTAGTCAGTCTCTAATGAAAGAAAATGTTTAAAGAATTGATTTTTTTGTGTTTTTGATTTAATTATTTTGTGCCATAATTTTAAAATTTAAAATATTTTTCAGGCAAGTAAAATGACCGAAACGTTATTTGACCAGTAAGTACAAAAATGTTTGAAATAAAAATTATACTATTTAGTATATTGCTACATCTATATGCTCATTTCTTATCTTATCTATTTTAGCAAATCTTCATCTTGGCTGTATAAATTCTATTACATTCTCTACCGAAGCATTTTGGAACTATTGAGGAACCCACAGTTACAATGGTTAAAGATAGCTCAGAAAATTGTTAGTAAATTTTTATTTACCTAATATAACAGAATTTTTAAATATGTATATTTTCATTTATGAGAGTTAAAAAAAAATAATAAACCTGTTGGTTGAGGATGATCACCTCCTTCCACACACACCTATGAGCTAGAAACAGTATTTCTTTACAAAGTACTGAACCGTATTCTCTTTATTAGTTTTTTAATGGTGATATGGTTGTATTACATTCCCCCTCTTCCTCACCTTTTAGGCTATGCAGGATTTTTTACATTCACTTTCGACACCGGATTGTAGAGCCACGCTAGTAATTATAATGAGGAGCCGAGAACTGCCGTAGAAACCCAAATACACCCTCAAGTTTGGTGGATGGGTTGCGATTATATTGTTAACTTATACATGTTGGGTTTCCATAAATGCTAGTGCTGGTATTATTTAATATTTTAAATTAATTTAATATATAGATTACAGCTTTTAATAAAAGTATATATAAAACAGTGTTTAAACAAAAAATATAATCACAATGAAACATAAAAGAAATCGTGGCACTTAATTATTTATCATAATTAAATAAATAGTTAAAACATACGATTGTAAAAGGAAATGGTTAGTGATGAAAAACTCATAAATTTAATATATCAGACCAGAAAAACATACAGTAATTAATTGTTTAAATAATATGTTGCTCCATCTATGATTTTTACTTTCAGTTGCTACCAGCAACTTTATTTTTCCTTGATTAGAGGCGCTAATGACTTAAAGGTTTTGAGGCTAAAACGTCAAATGATGAAAAGACCTCTTTTTCCTCATTTGAGTAAAAAGAGGTACCACTTACCACCAAAGTAGAGTGGTAAGTGAAAGTTGTGTTGTGCGCACTGCCCCGTATTTTTTTCCTGGACCAGGTGTGATAGCAGGAGATTAATGGCAGAATAGAAAGCCAGCCCCCTGACATCAGGATTTGAACTTTAAACTTCGATTTATCACAGGTTCACGTATTAAGCTGCTTGGCCACTCCACTCCAAATGTTAAGAAAAAGGTGACCAGATGTCCCACATCTCACTGCATTTTAAAAAGTCCCAACTTTTGGAAAGAATAGTAGGAGACTATACGATTTTCGGCAGCCATGTGGCTACTTCACCAGGATATGAGTTTTATATTATTTTTCTTAATTTTGTAATATTTAATATTAATAATAACGAATAATTTGTGAGAACTGCTTGTCAAAATTTGCATTGTTGATGAGTTTCAGTGTCAAATACATTTTAAAATTATTCACTCTCAGAACTACATTACCAATCTTATTTCAGCCAAATACTATATTACCTGAATATATTCACTTCAGATTATCATTATGTACAATTAATAATTGTCACAACAAATTCGGACCATTGTTTAGGCGACCAAATTTTTAAACATGAAATCCTTCCCTCCCCCCGGTTAATGGTGTCCCGCTTCACCAATGTTAAAATCTGGTCACCAAAGTTAAGAATCAATATCCTGAATGCAAATACAATACTAAATTTAATCACCTTTTCTCAAAAACATTTTGTCCACTTTACGATGGTGTACTTAAAATTTAATTATCTGAACAGTTTTTGAGCAATTACTTGTTATTCAAGTAACTTAGAAAAACAGAAAATTAGTCTTAACTCGCTTTCTGTTCAGAATTGGGTCATGCATCAAATAAACTTTTTGTTGAAAATTTTGTCTAGAAGAATCACCCTCCAGAGTCGGGCCATTAAGAGCTTATACATCATGTATATTGAAACTAAAAAAGAAAGTTTATATTTTTTAACTGTTTATTATAATTATTAATAAATATGTAAATTATGTTGTATATATTTCAGGTTGTCGCAATCGCTGCAGGCTTGTGCTACGTAGGTGCGGTGAACAATGATCAAGCTGGAGTTCAAGCAGTTCAAGGAGCATTATTTATTTTAATCACGGAAAATACGTTCCCGGCTTTGTATGCTGCTCTTGCCCTTATTCCTAAGGAGTTACCTCTTCTAGTGAGGGAAATGAGGGATGGAGACTACCACCCTTCTGCTCTCTACCTAGCAAAAATTATATCACATGTAAGTATATCTTCTCAGTTAACCCTTTATTGGAAATAATTCCTGTGATTCCTTTTTGAAGTGAAAACTTCTTTAGGCGTGCTTTGCACTTTTTTTGAGGGTAGTGAATCAGACTGAGCTATCATCCTCAGATCTGTAACGCTCATTCAGGTAAAGTCACCTCGAGTTGACTAATTCAAGTGTTTTTTCATTTGAATTAAAATATCTTAGAAAATAAAAATCGGACCTGCATACTGCATCGGATGTATGGAAAATTTTCAGCTTTTCATCCTCTTTGTAATGAACTAAAATTCAAAACTGTATTTTGACCTGAGGCAGAGTAAGAGAGTCGGAAAGGGATAATGCCAAAAAAAACAAAACAAATAATAACTACTTTTGAACATTTGAACTAAAATATCTCAAAATTTAAATACCATTGAGAATTCAGAAACCAATTTGTGGAAGTCAATACAGGTTTTTTTTTTTAATTAGCCATAAAAATAAAAAATTAAGTGTTTCTATTCGATTTTCTGTTTCACTCAATACAGTTTCCACTAATTGTGTGGTCTGTTAGCAGAGGTCTTCACACTTTTGGTACCATGGGCCATATTGATACTTTCATTATTTTCTGCAGGCCACATCTGACCTCCTAACTGAGCCATAATCTTTGGCCAGCTAAAACAGTTGAAATTGATAACAAAAAATAACATTCTGTTTCCTGCAACTCTTACAAAAACATCTCCATTTGTTTTTCTGTCAAACTCCATTTGATGACCTTTTCACAATTTCATCTTTTGAATTATTTCGAACTTCCGGAAGTATTTCACAGCTTCTTCTTCCAAAGATAGCAATTGTCGAAGTGTTATTATATCCATTTTAATTATAAAATAACAAAATTAACAACAACGAAAAAAAACTGAAAACAATTGCAAAAGTAACTAAGCAGAGAAGAATGATAATAAGAGGTTACACGAGATAAGGAGGTAGGTTCAGTGGCAACACGGTAAGTCCTGAAATTTCTTTTAACTTTGAAGAATAAAACTTACATATTGATTTTATTGTATTTTAAAATAGAAAATATATTTGTTTTTTATGTTTATTGGATTGGAATAACAAAGTTTGGATTACTTAGATTATACTGTATTTTTTAATAGAAAATGTGTTAGGTTTTAGGTTTATTGGAGTGTTTGGATTACTAAGATTGTACTGTATTTTTGAATAGAAAAAAATCTATTTTTTTTTACTTTACATATTATTTATATTGAATTGCTAATTACTCAAAAATATGTAAAACTTTTCGATTTATTGTATATGAAATAATTTTTTCAGCTCCCTGGCCTAGCTTTAGATGCTTTTATATTTACTGCTATCATATACCTGTTCGCAAATTTGCGTCCTACCACTTTTGCTTTCTCGGTGGTTTCATTGATTTCAATACTGTGTATATTGGTTTCAACTGCATGTGGTAAGAAATCATTACTTTTCATTTCATTTTATTCGTTGTTTTTTTTTCTTTGTAAATTTTGTTATATTTTTAGGATTCATGTTTGCTAGTGTTTTTGAGAATTACGAGCTGGCAAGCGTGTTTCTTATATTATTTGATAACACCATGATGATAATATCTGGACTTTTTATCAAATTGAGGTAAGATGAAAGCTTTGTATGTTTTTTTTTTTTTTCAGGAAAAATGTATGAAATTTAAGTATGTTTTTGTGTTTATTTATTGTACAATACACCTGTCTTGGAAGTCTGTAAAAATAGTTTAGTTAATTTTAAGCAAGCTAGCCTAGTTATGAGGCAAGGTAGTCTAATTGTGCTAATATCAAGAAATCTTTAAATTTGAAAAATACTTTCACTTTTTGAAAACAAAAAAAAATGGCTGCTCCTGTGAATAACAAAGAAAACATGGCTGCTCTTGTCAGGAACAAAGAAAAAAGGGGCTGGTCTTGGGATGGACAAAGGAAGAGGTCACTTTATGCCTGGCTGTATGGAAGAGAAGGTCTCCTGTGAAGGTGCACATGTGTCAAAAGGTTAGTTGTCAGTTTAACTTGACTTTAGTTTCAAAAGGAAATAGTGTTATATGTAAACAGTATTAGTGTAAATAGTATTAGTATATAAATAGCAACTTAATATAACTAAAGTTTAAAATTTGGTTTTCATCAATAACATTTTTATTTGTTTTGGAAACTTTGCATAACAATATGAAGTGATCTTCAAGGGTTATTATTAGTAGTAAAGATTGAGGCATTACATTTTTATGAAGGTACAAAAGTATTCAATTTAATACATAATATGATTGAATAACAAAATAATCAATTAAATCTCATACCATTGAACTTTATAAATATTCACTATAACGCTACTGCTGGTGCAAAAGGTCCTTTTGCACTAGCAGTGGCAATAAATAATATAAGAACAAGATTAAAGTAGTTATTATTGACTTAAAAACAAAAAAAAAGTTAGTAAAAAATATGATGACGTTAAATAGATTTCTTCATAGATGTCGTTTTTTTCTTTTTTAAGTAATCACAAATAGCAATGTGAAATCGCTAAAAATAATAAGTATTAGATAATTAAAAATAATAATTTTATCGTTGAAGTTGATAGAGGGCAACCAATCAATGATGTTCTTTTACTTGGTTTTGGACTTAAATCTGCCGTGCCCTCTACTGGCAACTGGTTCGCTTAAGAACTGTTCAGCATTGTCGGGAATAGTGTCATTAATTACGGTTGCAGGTGATTTTGTAACATTTGAGCGGTTTCCTGGGTCTCGATCTCTGATGAGGCAGGTGGGTTTTAATCTGATCATATCAACGACTGATTAGTTTGCTGCAGTAAAGTCTCTTTTATCAACTCTGGTAGTACCGGCTGTCGGACCTCCACTATTGTTAGGTATTAACTTTAGGAAATGAGCTGACCTGACAATGTTGTTTTCTACTAGTTCCCCAAACATTTCTTGGTTCTCTGGTCGGGCCCTTTGATGTCCCGGCATTATTTACATAATCAGTGTTTTGGTTGTTACCATGGCCAGCATTGATCATCCTGTCCCTGTTGTAATTTGTTGGTTCAATTTTATTGGTGGACATTTCTTCCTGTCTTGAACTTTCTCTACTCTTCTCTCAGAACCCTCTATCTTCTTGCTGGCCCCCCCTCTGTTTTTTTCGCCCTTACTATCAGGAACCCTTTGGATTCTCAGTCTTTCTTGTGTCTGAAAGGCTTTCCTTTCGCTTTTTGTTTCTTCAATGTGTGCCTTGTAAGGTTGGTTTTTGTTTTGATGTTTCGTGCACTTTGTCAATGACTGAAATTAGTGGATCGTCAGATACGCCCCCCCCCCTCCCTTCAGCCCTCATCTCCTGTGATTGGAATGGGTTCGCCTACTAGTTTCATTCATTTTTTCTTAACAGGAGAGGATTCTATTCTAGATTTAATTACCCAGTGTCTCCAGCAAAATGTAATGTCTCAATCTTTAAAAATAATAATAATCTTGGAAGATCACTTGAATATTGTAATGAAACTTCCTACAATAAATAAAAAGGTTATTGATGAATTCAAAATATTAAACTAATGTCTAAAATTTTGTTTTCATTAATAACTTTTTAAAATAAAATTTTAGACTTTAGTTTAGTATTTTTTTAGATCTAGTTTAAATGTTTGTTTTAATTGATAACCCTTTTTAATCAAAAAGTAGAAGGGCGTATCTGACGATCCACTAATTTCAGTCATTGACAAAGTGCATGAAACGTCAAAACAAAAACCAACCTTACAGGCACTCATTGGAGAAACAAAAAGCGTAGGAAAGCCTTTCGGAAACAAGAATGACTGAGAATCCAGAGGGTTCATGATACTAAGGGCGAAAAAAAAACAGAGGGAGACCAGAAAGAAGATCGAGGGATCCGAGAGAACATTAGAGAAAGTTCAAGACAGGAAGAAATGTCCACCAATAAAATTGAACCAACAAATCACAACAGGGACAGGATGATCAATGCTGGCCATGGTAACAACCAAAACACTGATTATGTAAATAATGCCGGAACATCAAGGGGCCCGACCAGAGAACCAAGAAATGTTTGGGAAACTAGTAGAAATCAACGTTGTCAGGTCACCTCATTTCCTAAAGTTAATCCCTAACAATAGTGGAGGTCCGAGAGCCGGTACTACCAGAGTTGATAAAAGAGACTTTACTGCAGCAAACTATTCAGTCGTTGATATGATCAAATTAAAACCCACCTGCCTCGTCAGAGATCGAGACCCAGGAAACCGCTGAAATGTTACAAAACCACCTGCAACCGTAATTAATGACACTATTCCCGACAATGCTGAACAGTTCTTAAGCGAACCAGTTGCCAGTAGAGGGCACGGCAGATTTAAGTCCAAAACCAAGTAAAAGAACATCATTGATTGGCTGCTCTCTATCAACTTCAACGATAAAATTATTATTTTTAATTATCTAATACTTATTATTTTTAGCGATTTCACATTGCTATTTGTGATTACTTAAAAAAGAAAAAAACGATATCTATGAAGAAATCTATTTAACGTCATCATATTTTTTTCTAACTTTTTATTGTTTTTAACTTGATAACAATAATTTTAATCTTGTTCTGGGGTCCAAAGTGGTGTGATGCGCAATATATGGTATTTATAGTTACCACTTAGCCTCTCCTCCACAAATCCTCTCTCACCTGTACGCGGTGGACCCTACTAAACTGAGCAACCCAGCCTGAGGTGGCGGTAACCAATCCCTGCGGACGGCTGGGTCAGTGAGCAAACGAGAGATAAGGGACTCAGGTAAAACTGGGTGTTGTTCCAAATTTGCGGAACCTTTTACTGGGCTAATCACTCGTACTAGAGAATAACTTGATTTAACAGCCAAGACTTGGAACAGAAATTAAGAAGCATTAACATGGAAAGAGAAGTGGACAGCATATGGGCGAAAATTAAATGGCATATCCTGCAAACAGCAAATACAGCATGTGTCATCAAAAGATACTGATTAAACGGAAAACGGAAGTGATTGGTGGAGCAATCTGGTGAAAGCAGCAGTGCAAAGAAAACCACGCATGGCAAGAGTACAATTCAAACAAATGCGATGCAACATGGCAATCGTATGTCCGAAGAAGGAATGAAATGATGCGGACATTCTTGACAGCACTATTCCCAAGTCTTTGAAGAAAGGAGAGAAGGGGAGAAAGAAGATAAAGTCTCAATATTTAAAAATAATAGTAATCCTGGAAGATCACTTCAATACTGTAATGATACTCCCCAAAACAAATAAAAAGGTAATTAATGAAAACAAAATTTTAATCTTTAGTTATATTAAGTTAGGGATTTACAATTATTTTATCGTAGGGCATGGATTATTACAAACGATTAGTCCAAACTATTTACATATAACACTATTTTCATTTGTAACTAAAGTCAAGTTAAACTGTCAAGCTAACCTTGTTACACATCTTCTTTGGTGACAGTAGTGGAACAGGTTGACTCCTTTGTCCACCTGAGAAGTACGGTCACAAAGTGGCTCAGCGAAAGATGCGAAAAGCTGAAATAAAAAAGACCAACCAGGTTTTTGTTCAGTTATACCCAGTATGGAAGAATTGAAACCTATCTAAATACACGAAAACATGGCTTTTCAACACAAACATAAAATCGTTCCTACTTTAAGGCAGTGAAACATGGAAAGTGATCGAATGCATCACCATACCCCTACAGACCTTCTTTAACAGGTGCCTGTGTAGAATACTGGACATTTGGAGGCCAGAGCATGCATCAAATGAAGGACTGGAAAGTCATCAACCAGCTACTAATCCATCTTAACAAGGTTAGTTTGCTTAAAATTTACTAAACTTCTTTTACAGACTTCCAAGGCATGTGTATATTACAATATAAATTGGACTTTTAAAGCTTTTTTTCTGAACTCAGTATCCTAATATATTATATAATATTTAAATATTTTTTAGCACCCTACCTTTGATGATCTCATGGCTACAGTACCTTTCGTGGATGAGATACAGTTATGAGTCCTTATCAATCATACAGTGGCAGGATGTGAAAAATATTAGTAAGTATCCTATAACTTTTATAAATAGAGCTAATTGACTAATTAATTACTTCAAGTGATTGATGTCAAGATGATGGGTGTTTTGCTTTGTCATGAAATTTATTGTAATACAATTATTCTAAAAGTATCTTTCAAGCAAACATGTAAAAAAAAAAAAAAAAAAAAATCTAGATAAGAAAAAGTACATTTAAAATTAAATGTATGTATATTATAGAAAAAACCACTGGTTATCTGGGAAGCCAAACCGTTTCCTTTAAATCTTTTTTAAAATGTCTAAAAATTAGTCATATGACTTTTCTGGTACAATTATGTCTTAATTGTATCCCTAATAATAAAATTTGTATCGAGTATGTAATTAGGTGATATATAGTCAGGACGCAGTCATTTTAAGATGTTTATTAATGCCGAGGTTTCAATCCGATCATGTGGGTCATCATCAGGTATTTATGTACTGGCACTTACTTTAGTAGGCACGTAAAAGTGCCTCATCGTCGTTAATAAAAACTTCAAAAATGACTATTCTGACTATTTATCACCTATGATATAAGAATAGTCGACTAACTTTCTTCAATAGTTTATAAGTTTTGAATATCAGCGATAATGTTTATTATTTTTTGTTTTAGGCTGTGATGCATCCACATACCTTCCTTGCTTTCGTTCCGGAAGCGAAATCATCGATTATTACAGTTTTTCTGAAGATCACCTTTACTGGAACATTACCTTTTTGGTCATATTATTTTTCTGTTTTAATGTTATTGGATACATCTTCTTTGTCCAAAAAATTAGGAAACATTTTTGACATGAAAATTTTCTTAAACCAGTATATACGTTCATTCAGCTGTGCTGGGTGTTTAAACTCGATTAAGTCATTTAAGGGGATGTTTTTGTGAATTAAGGGCTTTATGAGTTTGTGAATAAAATGTATCAACAATATTGTTTTAGTGAGATGGTCTATTATGACATCATGATGTCGATCATTTAAACTAATATATCTTTTGTATATCCATAATTATTTCCATAATTATTTGGGTTTCTTTCATTCTAGATGTTTGATATATCAAACATCTAGAATGAAAGAAACCCAAATAAAATTTTACTTTTTAGTTTAAGCCATTATTGTAGATAACAATCTACAGTATACAATATTATTTAGACAGATCAGGTGATCTAGCACTCAAAAATAACTCAGTACTAAACAATAACTCATAAGTTTCTGTTGATGAGTTTTCACTAAAACAATTATTGTTCAAGCTAAGTCTATCTCATTTAAGATCTGTGATATGTTGAGAATTTATTATTCAATGACAATCACTTTTCACGATGTCTTCAAATAAAAGGAGTACCTGAAACTGAATTGAAGAAAAAAATTGTTTCAATAATATTTGGTTTTTAATTATAATTAACATTTAACCAGTGTTAAACATCTTGTTTTATGTATGGATTAAAAAAAATAATAAATATACTAAGCAGTTATCTGCTATAATATAATTCCGAGTTAAAAAAAAGTATTTGTTAATTAATACAAAAATGTATTAATAACATTAGAAATTTATATTAAAAATATTTTTTAAATTCTAATTGATAAAATTAAAAAAAAGATAAGAATATAATTGTTATTTATTGTTGTAAAATGTTATATCGAATTCTGTATTATATATTAGATTTTAGATTAAAGCAAGTCATGTTAATTAAGTTGAGATATTCATCGTTAATAAATTTTAAAGATTTTATATATTTATTGTCATTGATTCCAAAAATGTTCACTACACTTATAGATGTTAAATAATGAATAATATGTACATTACCAAAAATAAATAGTGCCATAAAATGTGTCTTGTTTTCTTATCAAATAATTGTACATATCTTAATATAATTATTTTTTACCAAGTCTCAGTATGTAATTATACACCATTATTCTGCTGTACAGATCCCTTTTTATCCAATTTTAACATCTGTCTAAAACTTCATGCAAGGTTACAATGTATTGTAAACTACTACCTTTTATATAAGAAAATTATCAGAAATGGAGTATTTTCTATTTAAATTAATTGATTTGATGATGTGCTAAAAACCCATTTGCTTTTCACTTGAATTGTAAGATAATTTTATCAGGAAAAGGGATGACCTGCAAAAAATATTGGGTTGTTTGGCCTATTCAATATCTTTATTTTGACATGTAGGGAAATGAAAGTCATGCGAAACTTCTCAATATTTTAAGCCACCATTCTCTCCATTTTGTGATCACATTATCAAACTATTACCAGTAAAATATATTTTTGTAAATTTTTAACAGCTGCTCGCTAAATGTAGATAACAATCTTAACGTAAATAAGTAATGAATACTCAACTGAAGTTTTTTTTTGTTATTTCCAGTTAAAAACTGCGCCATACTTATTAATAAAAGAATGAAGATGAAAATTAAATGTATATACTTTTGACAATAAAGTATTTCATATCAATTTGGCTGGTTTTGGGAGAGGATTAATAAAATAAGTACAAAATCATATATTATTTAACATATATTAATTTTATTTCATGTAATATTTAGAGAAAGGTAGGTATCGAGAATACATGAATAAATCCCACAATACATATGTTTTATAAATATATATATCATGAGAAAAGTTCCTAAAATTAGTGCTGAGTTCAGAAACTTGCTCTTGTTTGATAATATTTTTAACACAGAACTTTTTTTTTATTGTATAAAAATACGTAGACTATTTGGGGTCTTGTTATTATTTTTAAAAACCAACTATTTTTTTCAATAAAAAAAGTAATCAATAATATTCAATAAGGTTTTAACCTTATTAAAATATATATGCACTTTTTTTATTTTGCAATGAAGTTTTAAAAAAAAAACCAGTCAGGCTCTTCTAGGTTCACCATCGTGAGTGGTATGCCTTAAAATTTAGTTAAAATATGGAGACAAAAATTTTAAAATAAAACATTACACGTCATTAAGAAAAAAAAAGGAGAAATACACATGAACGCTTCAAGAATAAAATTTATATTACTAGTAAAGTTATTTTTTTTTTTTATTATTTCTTAGTGATATTTACAACTGTACTAGTAAAGTTCAATCCTTTTTCTTCATAATTATCTTAAACAAAATATGTGTATTATTGTGGTTTATTAAAATAAAATAAATATATTGTAAAATGCATTTGAAATTTCTAGTCCCAAAAGAATAAAATTTGTATTACTAGTAAAATTAAATTCTTTTGCTGCATAATAATCTCAGACAGAAAATGTATTATGATTTATTAAAAAAATAAAAATATTGGAAAATACATTTGGAACCTCAAACCCCAATCATATTATATTTATTTTGAAGTTAATTATTTTAGTTATAGTGTCAAAGTTAAATTGAACAAAAATTAAAAATTATGAAAATGTTTCAGGCTTGCCTTAAGTTGGATAAAAGAACCACTTATCAAGAAAAAGAACACTGTGTCTTATTTGAGTAATGAAACCAGATTAGAACATTGTATAAATAAAAAGATTGGTGGTTCAATGTTTGGACAGGTATGCACAATAATGTTTACACGTAAAATATTCTTCTGGGAAAAACTATAAACAATGGATGTTATTTATAAGGATATTGGATACAAGGCTTATATAGCCTAAGTTGTATGATTGGTTATAATGGATTATCCGCTTTACTAGCTGAAAATGCTTGGTATTTTGGAGGTTCTTACAGTATTCAGTGAATATGTATGATATCATAAACATATTTTTCTCTCATACAATTTTACAGTCTTATACTTTGAATACTTTTGTTTTTCAGCATTGTTCATTTGATATTTTTTAAACTATAATAAATTTTAATCAAAATAAACAAATAATCTGGTATAAGTTTTAAAAAAAGTAATTACATCAACATCTTTGTAATTTTTTTTATTTCTTTGCCATTATATATTATTTATTTGTTAATACTTTATCTAATACTTATTAAACACCCAAAGTCGGGAAAAAAGTTATGAACAAAGGAAAAATTGATTTGAGTGAAATGTTTCTAAAATCTCTACAAGACAGTAAATAAAAAATCATTTGAAGAGGACTTGTATTTCTATAGAATATAGCCCCAAAGCAGCTCTAAGGATTAGTTACAACATCAAGTAAGTCCCGCAAGGTTGTGCCCTCAGTCCAACATTGTTCTGCTTAGCAATAAATAACTTGGGACTTAACTTGCCTAGAGGTGTCAAACTTCTACTGTTCACAAATGATCTGTCCATCGTATGTCGCTCAAACAACATTGCCACTATAAAGCGGAAATTAGAGGAAACCATTAATAGAATAAAAAAACTCGTTCCTCTCCACAGGTTTCGAATTCTCCACTGAAAAAACAAAGTGCTTCCATTACAGTTGAAAGAAAAATACTCCTCTCTCTCCTGGCATTTACTTAAACTATTCCCTGATCCCCTATACCAACAGTCGCAGATTCTTGGGTATGGTATTTGACCGAAGACTGACATAAGAAACAAAGTAAAAATAAAAATATTACTCTGATGATTGGAAAATTGTCCCGAAACGTAAGAGACAAAAAGCATAAATAAAAAAATATGAAGAAGATTGGAACTTTTATTGCCTAAAATATGAAAAAACATACTAACCTTATTACAATTACGGAAAATCGAAACCTCACTTTTAGAATTCAAAACTAAACTCTCTTGTCTTCTTCACAAAATTCTAGAACCATTTTTAATCCATACCAACGGATCAAAATCCGAAGAATCCAGAGCATCTCTTCTTACCCACAAAATAAAACTACATAAATTATGCATTATGTATACAGCTGAACTTCATTCAATAGCTTAATTTCTCCATGCCGATAACCCTCAAAACAATAATAATAACAAGAGATTCTTTGAGTTTTTTAAAAGGTATTAGTAATATATAGCCGTGAAATCGGACTATTTTAAAAATCCATAGGTATTTAAACATGTTCGAAAATTTGAGAAAGTCGATACATTTTATCTGGGTGCCAGGCCACGTAGGGATTGCTGGAAATGAGCTCGTGGATGCATCAGCCAAACAAGCAATCATCCTTCCCGGCCGGAGCGCTGCTATTTTCACACCACGTGACTCAAATCTTCCCCTCAAAAAAGAAAAGGGAAATAGCTCTTGGCTGGCAATACACGTGGAACAAGAGGCCTCCGAGGAAATAAAAAAATCATTAAAATCATGGTACACCTCGAACAGTCCTATTCGTAGAGAGGAGTTTGCCTGGGCCAGACTAAGGATAGGACATACAAATCTAACAAATTCTTACCTGATAAGTAAACAGCCTGCACCAAAATGCCAACACTGCTGCAGTACTCTGACGACACAATCAGCCACATTCTTCAGGAGGGTCCTTATTACCTTATCAATTATAACCAATTAGGACTCATACCAAAACTATCAGATATTTTAAATAATGATGAAGCTAATGTAAGATTGGTAATAAATTGTCTTTGCTGTGACGCAATATATTCGTAATTGACCTAAAAAAAATATATATTCCTCCCCCTCATAATATGCTGTATTTACTTATTTGCTATTAACATTTGATCTCTGATCAATATAAGGTGCAAATTATTAGTATAGGCCAGTTGATAACATATTTTGAAATTTATTTTTTCAGAGAGCGGAGCTGTCTGGTGGAGAACGCAAACGCTTATCATTTGCTACAGCCTGTCTTTCAAATCCTGCACTGTTATTCTGTGATGAACCAACTATTCGCATCGTCAGTATGATGGCTTCTTGGAATGCTACAATCTTATGCACTATCCATCAGCCTAGTCCTGAAGTGTTGAA